GGTGGCTGATCAAAATAATAAGAGCACTAACAAGCTCTTCGAACTCAAAGCAGATCTAGATGGTAATTTACATGATTTTAAGAACGTTGTGTGGAAGATTATAAGCGAGGAGGATAACTCTACGGCACTTGACCTCGTCGACTACTTTGTTATATAGACTAGCGGAACTACAGACCCAACCCAGTTAGTAGCAGCTGTAGAGGAGAACTTTGGCAAGATGACGCGCGCGCGTTTGGACTCTGTAGTAACAGTTGTGGATGGAGATGCGTTGGCTCCAGATACGATGCAAGGGGTGGAACTTTGTGCTGTAGCTATTCGGCAGCTTCAATGCGCAGACGTGGTCTTACTGAATAAAGTAGACTTGCTAGACTTGACGAAACTAAGATTTGCAAGAAAAGTGATCGAAAAATATGCGCCTAATGCTCGATTGTACGAGACAAATCATAGCCAAGTGTATTTACCTCATGTGCTGGATATTGCACCACCAGAGGACGTATTTAATGGTGGAATCAGTCATGAAAAGGTGCAAGGGCAATGGAATACAGGTCTTAGTGCATGGAATAATTCGATCAAACCCGGGGCTAGTCGTTTAAGAGTGGAGAATAGCCGAGGTTGGAAGAAGTGGAACGTCACTCCGAATCGTTGCCGGCATTTGCTTCTGTGGCTTTTGAGCGAACAAAACCGATGCCACTTGCCACCTTTCACAATTGGATTCAGCACCATCTACCGAAAGGCACACTACGCGCAAAAGGAGTATTCTACATTGCCGAGTTGCCAAGATATTGATCTGTAATGTAATTGAGTGGAATGCGACGACTAGAAGTTGAGAACACTGGCACGTGGCTTGCGACACGGAAGACGCAGTTTGTTGTCATTGGGTTGAATAGTTCTCGTGACGATTCCAAAGAGCGATTTGATAAGGCTCAAGCTCTTGAAAGTTTAACGACAAATTTGGTAACCTTGACAAATCATTTAGATATGTCATGTCGTGAGCCAATTCTGAAACTGTTTGAAAGAGACAAGCGGTTTGAAATAATTGCTTCACCTGATCAAGCAACGACAATTTCCTTCCGCCTTACGTGTCCTACATCAGCATTGGACGAGACGATGCTACGCCACCATCATCATGTCGACATGAATGAACTGACTAGGCGACTAGTCCGTGAGGTAAATGCTTCGGGTGGTGGCTCTTTACTACTTGATGCCTCGTATTCAGACTCAACTGACATTGATAGAGATCGTTTCTACGCTGTGGCTTCAATCATTGGTCCTGCATCTGTCTTGAGCTTGTGGCATGATCTTGATGTTCGCGCTGACGCGATTATAGATGAAGTTAAAATGAAACTTGCTAACTGCTTTTGTGGGTTTTAGTAGAGTTACGACGTTACAGTTATGGTCAGTCGGGTACGTTGGCGTTACTAACCCACGCAAATGATATACACAGCGTGAACAATTCCAGGTATGTAACTAGTAGACGAGACAATTAGAAATCTTCATGCTGTTCAATTTATTTTTTTAACACATGACGTACCCGAAAAGAGTAAGCAGTCCATTGATTG